TGAAAGTAAAAAAATTCTGATTTCGCAAAAAAAAAGGGGGGGGGTTCCTTCGAATAATGAAAGGGGTAACAAAAAGAACATCATGTAGACCTATATTTAGAGAATTAAAAATTTTGATGGTAACATCTTTGTATATTTTAGAGTTGTTACGTTTTTTCAAGAAATATAACATTTACACCACAAAAACTCTGACACACATAAGTATGACACGAGAAAGAAAGAAGACCTTCACGTGCAAAGTTATAATACCTTAACATATGAGAAGGGTGTTACAAATACGGCTATTAAGCTTTATAATAGACTGCCTTTGGAACTAAGAATGGTAAAAGCAGATAGAGAATTCCTACATAGACTCAAAAGATATTTACTGGAACACCCATTGTATAATTTGCACGAGTTCCTCTCAGAAGGACAGTTAAACGAATAAGATTCTCCTTGATAAACAGATTTAAGTGTAAACAAAATGACTAGTAATTAGACGAAGTTTTTAATATGATTCAGCCTATAAAGGGAATGGAAGTCTTGAAAGAGATTGAACTCCAAATTATTTAATCGTTATCTAAATTGTATTTTATCTTTTGTAGATTATTTTGATATAATAGGTTTTAAGTTGAAGAATATGACAGTGGCAATTAAGATATATATAATAGGATGACCTTGTTTTTTATAATGGAAGGAAGTCATAACTTTGATTGAACCTAATATATTTTAATTATACCGAGAGTGTGATTTTAATTGTAACTGAATGTTATGTGATATATGATGATGTTCAATCTATTGGGCAGGAGGCCAATTAGACTGGAAAAGTTGTATATGTATGTGACTTAATGTTATATTTTAGCGTCCTGTTGCACTGATTTATGTCCATGATTTATTCTGACCGTCTTACAGTGCATACATTTATTCACCTTACTCTTCTCTCTTGCACTACATGTTTCAGCACAAAAGTGCCATCTTGAGGTGTTTTTCGATGTACGTCGAACTACTTCATTGCATGCCCTGTTGTCTTTATACTAAAATAACTAAAATATATTGTAACGTGTTTCGTTACTGAAGACGCCATACGGATTGTTAATTGGTTTATTTAACAACCTACAAATCACGGCTACAATTAATGATAACAATGTTACGGGTTTCCACACTTTACAAACCCTACAACAAAATCTCTTAACACTATCTTCAAGAGTCTTCACGTATTAATAGTGCAGGAGCTATACAAGTCTCGCTGAATTACACACTCCAAATATAACTGGTTACCACGAACTATCACTGATTCTCGCACACGCATCTGTAACTTGAAGCTTGCGAACTGAGAACTTGTTGACAACACACTGACTCTCGCTTGCTGCTCAGCCGGCTTTTATTCCGTTCGCTATTGCTAGGGTCGCCCGCCATGTCACTACTGTGACGTGGCATATAGCCTAGCAACGCTGTTCGGAGTTGTNCGCCATACGGATTGTTAATTGGTTTATTTAACAACCTACAAATCACGGCTACAATTAATGATAACAATGTTACGGGTTTCCACACTTTACAAACCCTACAACAAAATCTCTTAACACTATCTTCAAGAGTCTTCACGTATTAATAGTGCAGGAGCTATACAAGTCTCGCTGAATTACACACTCCAAATATAACTGGTTACCACGAACTATCACTGATTCTCGCACACGCATCTGTAACTTGAAGCTTGCGAACTGAGAACTTGTTGACAACACACTGACTCTCGCTTGCTGCTCAGCCGGCTTTTATTCCGTTCGCTATTGCTAGGGTCGCCCGCCATGTCACTACTGTGACGTGGCATATAGCCTAGCAACGCTGTTCGGAGTTGTTGACTGCTGCCTAGCAACCGCGATATCCCTTGGTGACATCACCACTGTTGACTCGCGTTGCATAGCTACCAGGTTGCGGGGACTCGGCTAACTTCGGCTCCGCTCGGCACGTCGCGGCGGGGAGAGTGGCGGGGTGATGACTCGCCTATTACGAGAGCGCAACGTTACTGCCACGTGCCGCTGGGGAGGTAGAGGTCCTCCATTGCGCAACATGTCACAATATATTCGTCATATATATTGATAAATTTTAAATATTAAAAATATTAAAACTGTTCAGGATTTGTCATCCTTATGTCGTATCTCAATATGCGAGTCACACCTATCTTCTTCTATCGGAGTATTCTTCCTACTTTCATGTGTGTATTGTGCTTTGTGTTGTGTCTTGCTCCTGTGACTGCATGTGTTATACTGCTGGGCCTGCTGGGTATGTGACTTGTTCCAGAGTTACAATTTGTAATTGTGATGAATGGTAAATAAAATTATTATTAAACCAGCTGCTGTGTGGCAACACCTTGCATGTTTACTTGGCATAGCCCAGCAATGGCTGTCTCTTTCAGTCATCATGTCACAAAATTATAAAGAATTCAGAGAGTTTTATCTTCAGTCTCACGATGAGGCAGTGGAACAGATTATGATGGATATCGGAGGGAAATTTAATCTGCAACAGTATATGCCAGGAAAATCAAGAAACCAACAAAGTGAGGCATAAAGGGTGAGATCTCCCACTTTTAAACAAAATGGTCATAATATTGACACTTGCACAATTATAAGAAACTTGTTTTTTCTTGCTAGATACAATATTTCTCACTGAAGTAGGTGCAAAATCATGTCATTTTTAAAGCAATTAGAAGAAACATATATACTGACTAAATAGCAAACAGCATTCCACAGCTTGGTCTCTCATATACAAGATGATATATGATATGCCATGCCATCTTCTGACAGCATTAACAACATACAAAGTGTTTAATATTGTAGACTTAAATAACTTAGGATTAAAATGGATCCTTGAGAAATAAGGTGAGAAAGCATGGAACTGCATTCATGCAGTAAAGGGCAGGGATCAATTTTAGGCTCTTGTGAACATGAAGTAGTTATGCTGCTGGATCAACAAATTCTCCGTATGTATATCCATGCAGGAGAGCAGCGAGTTTGTTGAATGAACCAATGATCCAACTAATGAACTGTTTTACTGTCCATCCATGGTGGAAATTTCATGAACAGAGGGTTGATAACAATTTTTAAATATCATATGTCTCCAGTACTAAACTTACCTATATACCAGGGCCAGGATGTTAAGCATAGTTGCAACATCTGGGTGATCATGACCACTAGTTTTCTCCAGATCTTCAAGTGCTTGCTTGCACAGTGGCACGGCCACTTCATACCTTCCCTGTGAAGCATACTGGATGACTAAGTTGTGAAGTGTTCGTAGTCGGGCAGGAATCTCATATCCAGCATTCACTTGCTGGGCAAATTGACTTGGAGGTGTTGGAGACATCGCTTCAATAAAATAAAAGAAAAATTAGCAGTTTTACAAAATGTTCAAACACAGGATGAGGTGGTATTTACAATACAAAAGTATCTGAACTAATTTAACATAAATATAAAAATGTAAAAAATGCATCAGTGGCTATGGCTATTTGAGCCTGGGTAAAAGTCAAGTTACAACATACTTTATTAAACCTGGTAATTAGTGATGAACAAGAAATTGTCTAACTCTTCAATGGTCTGACCAATGCATGAAAAGTTTAAACAGGGAACCAAGGTCAATATGTCGTTAAAATGTGGTTGCAGAGCAGGCTACATAAGGGCCAACTGGACCAAAACAAGTAAAAAATTACTGAAACTGGAAAACAAAACAAAGTGAAGTGCATAAACTAGGGAACGTGAAAGACAAAAAAATTACAATAAATACAGGTGGCATACGGGCCTATGAGTAGTTAAAACAGTAAGGGTAAAATGACTACAGCAGGAAACTAATTCACTTAGTGGGGGGCGGAGTCCAACTGGGTCCACTGGGCATGGTGGCCACTGATTGGCCTATTGTAGCCTGCCCAGGGTGATTAAGATGATGGAGAATTTGGTGGAATGAAGATTGGCCGGGGAACCGAAGTACTCAGAGAAAACCTGCCCCAGCGCCACTTTGCCCACCACAAATCTCACTTGACCAGACCCGGGATCGAACCTGGGCCGTCGCGGTGGGAAGCCAGTGACTAGTTAGTTAGTTATTGGAGAGGGTGGGTTTCCCCATGCACTGAGACCTGTATTGGTCCATTGTGCTTCCCTCTATGATTTCTACCAGTCTCTATATCCTACCCGTACTGGTGCTTACCATCAGTCCCGCCCAGTCAGCGAGACCGGCTCTACTAGCTGAGAGGTATCTATAATGCTTCCCCCATCTACCAGAGGTATTAGAGACTGCTGTTGGGCGGGAAACGTCCGTTAATTTGGCTCAGTGACCTCCTTTGGAGATATGAGGTTCTTTTACGTGCCGTAAAGCTACGACACGGGACCCACGGCTTAAAGTCCCTCCCGGAGAACTTGTTCCCTGAATTTTTCCGTCCTTAAAAATTCGATGACCTCTGCTGGGTATTTGAAGCCGCGTACTACAAGTCACAAGGTGGGAACGTTACCTCTAAAGCCAGTGACTAACCGCTTGAGGTATGGCGCGGCCGGCAGGAAACTAAAATAGAGCCAGTTAAATATGCCTGTCCATACCTATACATTCCGAAATGCCTCAATGTTTAACATGTTACAGTGATAATTTTCTAAGATGTCCCACAACTCGCCATGATGATGGAATGTTTCTTTGATGTTCTGCATCATGATATGAGCATTCGAGCAGGATGTGTAAAATGGTGAGGGGACCACACATTGGTTACAAAGAGGTGCTGACCTCTTTCTTAACAAATGGCCATAAGTAAGACAAGAGTGACCAACCCAAAGCTGCACAATGATAACATCCTCATCCTAATGCAGCTGTGGGAGGAGTGCCAGACTTGCACAGATGGTTTCACCATTGGTAGTTTTCTGCCCACTGTCTGGGTCTATTCATCTTGCCACAACAGAAGAGTGAGATGAAGGAAAGCATGAACATCACTATGTAAATCTTGGTCTCACATCAAATTCACACAGAGAGCCGCCTCTTTTGTAGCCGCATCAGTGGTCTCATTATTGGACAGACCTGTGTGGCCAGGTATCCAACAAAATGCGCCAGACTTCACTGTCTTATTGGGATGAATATTTGTTGCAGAATATCCACAAGACCAGATGGTCTAGTTGTGTGCCCATGAAGGCTCTGCAAGGAACAGAGTCTGTGCAAAGTAGGTAATGTCATCAAGGTTGCTGTCAATTGAACAGTAAAGCTCAGTAAATGGCGCAGAGTTCTGCCATACAGACACTAATCAAATTTCAGAGACTGTATGAGAAAATCCTGTCTTCAGACATGAAGGCACATCTGACTGAACCCTGGAAGAATGACCCATCGATGTACATTGCGGTGTGCTCTGGGTATACAGGAAGAAGTTCTGCAAAGTACAGTTGAAAGTCACAGGCTGGATAGAAGACAGACTAAGAGCGCGTCTAAACGAGCGCACGTTCATGACTTCTGGTCTGGGCTTCACACCTCACTTGCATATAGGGGTAGTGAGAAGGGTTCAATCAATCTTCATCTTTTTTAGTTCCCTCTAGAGACATGCAAGTTTGAAGTAGCACCAAAACCATGGAAAAGTACAATGGAGTCAGAAAAGATCCTTGTTTGTGAGAGAGAAGTATATAACTGTGATGGACTTTAGAAACTAAGAAACAAACAACACAGGAAGAAAATGACAAATGCTTTCAGGGAGACAGGCAGACATGGCCATGATGAGATGGTGACTATGGAAATGACGTGGTATGCACTCAGACTGTAAAGGGGACCAATGAGGAAGAACTGGTAGTGGTGACTAGTAGATTTTATGTGATGCCTACATAAATGAGCAGAAGTCTATACCAGGAAACTGGCTATAACGGTTATGACATTCTGTTGACTTCCCGAACAAATCACTCCAACCAAATGCATGGATAGTAGCTTGAATGTGCATGCAGATTTGGAACTAAACCTACTACAATACTTGTCATTTGAGGCTACATAACTTCTGCAGGTGAAACATAGTTAAATTAAATTCAAAGAAAAAAATAATAATTACTGAATCTTATGCAGTGCGTTAAGTATAATGTGATAATTTCTGCAACAGTACATTTGTGTTTGAAACTGATGAACATCAGAGCTAATGAGGTATAGAAAACGACTTTACAATACCACTTTTCCCAGAAACTTGAATACCAGTAATAATGATTTTTAGATTCATGCTCACTTTATACAAAAAGCACAAAAAGGCATTAATATAAAACTGATAACAAATAACTGTGGTCACTTACTGCTCCTTTCCTCCGCATCATCATCCGGAAACAAGTCCACAACAGGATCATCCTGTTTTGGTTTATCCTGCTTAGTTTCAGTTGAAGATTCATCTCCCTGAAAATGAATTAGCCTTTCTCAGAACATGCAAGCAAATGCCAAATAATGCACCTACTGCACTTCTGTATGTACCATCTCCACCTCTCTATCCTCACACGTTCTGCTTCCGGAATAAGAAAGAGGGTGTGAAATATGGACGATTTTTCTCAATGCATAAAACCGGTGATGTTGCAGCCACACACCCATGAATGGAACAAGTGATTATAGTGACATAAATACCTCTGACACTGAAAACTATGTTTAATAGCACTGTCTGTCCTATTACTCTGGATTATGCAGTACGATGAGTGGTTGCAAGGCTGAATTACTTAAAAGTATGATTCCTTGTATGAGCCTAGAATATTTCCTTTACCATCACCTCCAGACTTGTGATGAGTTCACACAGCCTTCTATCAGATGGATAACTAGAGTCCTCCTCTGGGTAATAAGCAGTAATACTGAAACACACACTTCTAGTTCCTGTTCCATACTCTTCCTGGCACACTAGGATTTCACTAAACTACTTCTGATACATGATACATTTTACTTTCAAAATCATTTCCCAACACAAAAACACAAGACACTTCAACAGCAACCATACCAAACACATCTAGAAGACAGGATGATTTACTATACTCAGCTATGGATGACTGCCTGATATTTCTTAAATAAATACATTATCAATGGACAAACTGATAATGGAACCCTCGGTTCTCAGGTTGGTTGTTTTCATATTGTCGCATGTTGCCTATGTAACATGACAGATAAATTCTTGCAGGTCTTGGATTTGGTGAATGTTTATTAGGCACTCAATTTTACACTTATTATTATTATTATTATTATTGGAGGGGGTGGGTATCCCCATGCACCGTGACTAATAGTCTATTGTACGTCCTCCTTTGATATTCTACCAGTCGCCATACCCTACCGGTACTGGTGCGTGCTATCAGCCCCGTTCAACCAACGAGGTTGGCCCTTGGTACCTGATACTTCCCCCATCTACCAGAGGCATTGGAAACTACTTGGGCAGGAAATTTTTTGCCTAATTTTGCTCAGAGGTCTCCTAGACATGAGGATCTTTTACGTGCTGTAAATCTATGACAAAGGACCCACGGCTTAAAGTCCCTCTTGGAGGACTTGTTCCTTCAATTTTTCCGCCCTTAAAAATTCCACCACCTCCGCCGGGTTCGAACCCGTGTACCTTGAGTCATGAGGTGGGAACGTTACCCCTAGACTACGGAGGCCACTCACTTTTACACTTACATAATTCACAGTGTCCCAATTATTGTCACTTATAATGTCCTCTAGATGCTTCTTCATCACTATCACACTTCTTGCTGCTCTCGGTCAAGTTTCTCGGTGACTGCTAGACTTCATCCAACTCGTCTGTCAAAGTCAAAGTCCAAGTCACGTTGCGACTGACGGTCGGTCAGTCTGTCTGTCTTGGAGTCGATTCTTTTTCCTTATATGAAAGTTACTCTCCTGTCCATTTGGGGTGCCCTCTCTGACGAGAGGTCAGGTCTGTCATTTGTCAGTCATGGTCCATGTTAGTAAGTCCATTGTCAGTATTTACATATATTTACAAATTTAATCTTATTTCTCTTTTGAATAGGGAATATACTCTAATGAATGCTCTGAAGGCCTTGGCGTCAACCATTTTGTGCACTGAACCCCCTTACATGGGCCTCTCACAGACCACAAATAAAACAGCCTATATTGTTGGAATGTGTTTACTGACTGATTGCATAGAAAACGGTTGCAGCACGGACTCCATAGAAAACGCCGCACTCCCATTGTTACCTTGCGTGTATTCGGTCATGTGTTATTTCACAGTCAGTTACCTAGCAACTCTGTGTCCATCCACATTACAATATGCTTTCTCATCAAAATTCTGCAAGCATTTCTCATCTCATCTTGCACCCAGCCCAAAAGAGACTAGCAACCTATGTTCCTTATATGTTACACTTACTTGCTTTATACACTGCCAACTGCAGTCCTCTTGGTCAATTTAAATCACATATTGTGAATGCCTGAAATATCACCCTTATTTTCCACTGAATCCATGTAATTCTAAGGACACTTACCCACAAAAAAATTCTAAATTGTGCAAGAGGGCCAAACCCACTCTTGCGATCTCTGTTTATTCAACACGTTTACAGCTACCTTCCATACACAGAAGCTGAATGATTCAAGCACTATGAGTCAAGAACTACCTTGCATCAAGATCAGAAAGCTGAAACGGTTCTTAGCTTTGAACTTACTGTAACATCCTGGTCATATTTACGAATTGATGCCATGAATTCAAGGTGTTTCTTCTCTTCCTCTAACTGAGCAACGGCTTGCTCAGATGCCTGCAGTTTTTGTTGTGTGTTGGCCAGCTCATCCCGAAGCCAGGCATTTTCCTGGCATAACCGTCGAACTTGGGTCCGCAGCTTTTGTTTCTCAGCCTCAACAATTTGGAGGTGTGAGGCTAAGGCCATCATAACCTGCAGACAAAAGAAAAGATAACAGTGACACATAAATATTTTGTTAGTGTTGAACAATCTCTAAGCGTGTACAGTGCAATGCAAAAGTGTCTATTAGGAGGGGCAATATGTACTATATCAGGCAAGGTGCAGCAGGTGATCCAAAACCCGATAAATTCACAATGGACTGGACCAAGATCACATTCTTAATATCACAGACCTAATCAAATTAGTAAGCTATAAAGTCTGTGCTAATATAACTCAATAATTTTATCACTTTTAAAAGCATTTTGGAACTGCAATATCAGAAAAGGTCTAGTGACTTAGTAATTATGTACAGCTTGATATCTGAAGCCCCTCCCCCCATATAACTAATGTTGTCTCTGTGCTTAATCCATTAAGGATCATTGGTGAACACATATGGGTGAGTGGACGTATAGCTCAACTATCTTTGGCATCAGCAGTGGATGTAGGTGAGTGGTCAGCTTCTTTGCTCCAGCCATTTCACCCCCGGGAATACAGCCCATGGTATCCATCAGAGAGAAGGCTGGATGGGTCCCAGAGCTGGTTTGGACACTGTAGAGAAAAATTTCTGACCGCTAATGGGAATTGAGACCTGGCTGTCCAGCCAGCCAGCTAAATACTGGCAGAAAAGTTTTACTAAAAAAATGGAATGTGAGGTTACACAGTCAGATAGCCAGGGCCAGCAAACCGTAATGCTGCAACTGTGAAGCGCAGTGCCTGAGTGGCAGGTACCCACAGGCCACAGCACTGCAATCAAACTTGGTCACTCCAGTAGCACCTGCTGTAAAAGCAGCCAACTCAAGCAAAATAGCCAGTGTCCAGCATTCCATAACAGTCCTGAAGATAGCAGGGACAGAAGATGAACGATTCACTGTAGCCATGAAGGCCGTCTAAGGGCTCGCTGGGGAAATATGGGTAGGCCTTCACTGTATGTGCAGCACACTTGGCATCTATCAACGTGTCTGATCCCTCTTCTCTTCTTGGAGGAAGAACCAAAATCAAAAGAAATCGCAAGTGTCTGCTGTACGTCACAACCTGGTCAGAATTTCAGACTGGGGTGGATATTAAGACAATTGATTGACTGAGGGGATGCCCGCATTGCACCCTGAGACCTGAGTGTGGCTCTCTCTCATATCTGTTGGCTGGTGTTTGCTTGGCTTACTCTTCTCACCTAAAGATGAAGGCAGTATGTTCCTCCAAAACGTCGGTGAACTTGTACCAGACTACACGACAACATATCCCAGAAGACAGTACTCTTCATTTGTTACACACTTTGGCTTTTATATGACATAGGGTAGGTTTACAGCTGATGAACTACAAATTGTGATATCAATGTCAATTTACCACTATACAATCAACATAAGATGTACATAGGTATAATGCATCAAGAATATCACTGAGGGTGTATCAGCATCAGGTAGTGATGCAGATTCCTACATTATCGTTCGAAAGTTAATGGGTTCTATCTTCAACATGCAATGGGGGCCAAAATCACAAGGCTTAAAAAGTCGATGAAAACAAAGACTTTTCTTCTGTAAGGTTTTCTACTCTAGGTGACATATCCTCAGTGCACTAATGGTTCATTAATGTCATGTGTCATCTAAACCACATAAACCTTTTGTCATTAAAAACTAAGTTAACTAGGGAAATTTTGACCATGTTGCATTATGCTGCTAAGGAACAATGTGTTTCCAAATTCTTAGAGCTGCAATTGTAACTTCATGCGGTTGTGCAGAGGAAGAGCCAAATTCTGACTGCTCAGATAGGAGCTGTGCTGTGGCCATTCACAGAGAACTGAAATATTATACATTAACTGGTAAACCTTAACAGAGCAGGGAGTAAAGTTATGGGGTACAAAATGAACAGCCAAGGTTCAATTTCCATCTGGGATTATTCGTTACAACACAAAAGTCAAGAATAGCTCTGGAGCCACCCAGTAGCCATCAAATGGGCATCCTATACCAGGAGGCAAAGGCGGCCGGGCATGAAACTAGTATCTTATTTCCATCTTGTGGGTCAGGTTAGGAATGAGTAGGGATTTACAGGTCCTTTAGGAAAGTGGTTCTCAACCTTTGTGAGACCATGAACCGACTATCCTTCACGATAACTGGCACAAAAGTTGTACGATCACCCTGGTCCTTTCATTCGCAAAATACGAGGGACAGTCATTAATAGGTCACAAATGGAAGTAAAATAGCTCTAATGGACGCAATAGATTTTCTATGTGCATCACTAGGTAGCAACACAGTCCAGCTTCATGACAGTCTAGGCAGTAGACGCGCACGCGCATGTTCAGAGACTGGTTTCAGTAGTCCAAATGGCGACCACGCTTGAGAAGTGTATTACCGAAAGGCAGCGTTCTGTTGTGCGTTTCTCTGGGCAAAAGGATTCGATGCGAAGGGTATGCATAAAGAAATGGTTCCTGTTTATATTGGAAAGTGTTTATGGCGTAAAACGGCTAACAACTGGGCGGCAAAAGTTGCGGTGATGACGAAGAGGTTGAAACGGAGGTGCGGAAGTGGCTGAGACAACAGTCAAAAGCCTTCTACGCTGCGGGTTTCGACGCACTGGAAAGAGATGGGACAAGTGTATCAGTGTTTGTGAAGGATATGTCGAGAAATAAATGTTCTTTCCAGGTTAAAAAATCACATGTCTTACATTTTATATTCATTTGTGATATTTACTGACTCTCCCTCGTACGTCTAAAGTTAGAACGAGAAGCGGGTTTTAAAATGCGTTCTTTCTGATGTTGCACATGTTACTGGTCTTCATATGCAATTCCTGTAGAAAGGAGTCCGTTACATCTCGAATTCTATTCCACCGTCACAGAATAAACCATGGAAACTGTCTCACTCAGTCCTGAAAGAGTGAAGGAAGGCAACATCGAATTACGTAGTTGCAACCCTCCACTTCTATCTGGGTACAAAGTACTACGGATTTAAACTAATTCAATTATCTGAAAACTTCTCCTCAGGCATTTCAATGGATTCAAGCGGATTCAGCTACATGGCAACGGCCAGACTTTAACCTTAAAACGCATAATTTAAATGCATATTTTTAGTCGACTTTGACATGTTTGTCGTTAACATGAGAAACGAGATTACAGAGTACATCCCCTTAATTTCAATAGGAAGATTCCCTGCACTAATTTGGAATGTTGCATCACGCTTCGTCATAAAATTAAAACACTCTTTATTCATATATAAATGATCAGGTCTCCTGTGAGTTGGATTCAGAATGAATTCTGAAATGATGACTCCTTTCACATACGGCAGGGCAACTTGGGAGACCCGTCGATCAGAGGACCTCCACCAAAAGACAACAAAAATAACAGAATAACTCGATCTTAAATGAAACCCGGAAGCAGGAGCCAAATCTGCTATTGAGGCGTTCGAACGGCCCAAAACAGTAATGGTAAAAAAGTAAAGTTGTCCCTGTGCTTAACTAATTAAGCACTACGCCATGAAGACGTATGGGGAAGTGTAAGTATAGATCCACATTTTTTTTTACCTAGGCAGTGGCTAGAGGTGAGTGGTCGGCTTCACGTCCCGGCCGCTTTACTCCCGGAGAAAGAGCCCCCGGTACCCATAGGAAATGAGGTTGGGTGGACCCCAGAGCCGGTCTAGACGACATGGAGAAGTGAAACTTCTTGGCCTTACCGGTACTGGAATTCCGACCTCTCGGTCGTTCAGCCCATAGCCAGTAGCTATACGGACTGGGCTATCCAGGTTCATCGGCCCAAAACAGTACACGTATTAATTTAAGATACTTTTTTTTCCATTACTCTATTATTCATTTCAGAGATAATGTGGATTAAGCTAAAGGAACTGCATGGAAGTACAGAAGAAACCCAAGAAACCCCCCAGTTAAGTAATTGCCGTCAAGGACGATAATTTAATTCGGGATCTCCTGAATAGGAAAACAGGCGCGCCAACGACTCGACTGCTACGTTTGGTTCCGTAAGGTTGAAAACCGACAACAAATTCCGCATAATTCACTGAACTGCAAATTTAATAAACGATCACTTTCTAAAAACTCTAGAATAAGAAATCCAACAGAAAATGCAATAAAACGCGATTTACACACCAAAACAGTGAAGTGGAGGTCGATAAGAATATACAAACAAGGTACACACTGGAGAATGCCATAATGAAATAATGTTTTGACCTTATTATTTCCCATCACAAGAACAGACATGCGTCTTCGATTTATATTCCTAGTTCAATGGCTCGATAAACAAAAAATATAGATTTTTTGTTTGCCTTTGATGATACATACATACATGCCGTAGTATGCATAGCTACTCATTTACAGATATGATAATATACACCTACCAATCAGCTAACAAAATTTTATTTATTTTAACTTTGTATAAAATTAGAAGACGGATCCGGCTTGGAACATAGAACTTACAGAACTGTTGTCGTTTATAGTTTTAATGATTTCTGTGTGAATCTGTACATGACTTACATCTGACGATGACCAATTAGTGACGGAAACACACAGTGGAACTGTCTCGTATAATATTGTCTCGTGTTTGCTAGGCAACGCGACAAGAAATTGTGTGGGTTCTCGGATTTGAAAGAATATTTATTTTCCAGCCACTTTTTCACTCACAAGTACAATTATTTTCAATTTATAACGTCGTCAGATGTTTCCTCTTCACTATTACTTCTTGTATCGCTGATCTTGGTGAAGTCTTCTGTAATATTTTCGTATCAATTCGTATCTCGGCTCGTAATTTCTTCGCATTTCGTTATCTCTTCGTATCTCGTTGTAATCTGGTCTCAAATTCGACCTGGTCTTCCTTTATACCAGGGGTCTCCAAACTTTTCGAACCGCGGGCCACATTAGATAATTCAGCACTTTCGACGGGCTGGATAAAATGAGAAATTAATGGCTCCAGGTACGAGTGTATGAGTTTTACTGAAAACACAGAATTTCATAAACTAAATACAAAGTACGTGAGAATAAATTATCGTATATTAATGACAACA